TGAATGTATATATTACTGATCCTCATGTATCTCTCAGCATCCCAAAACTCACCAGCTAACAGCAGCTGCTTGGAAACCCAAGTCTTTTTTTTTTTTCTTCCCCAGATGGTGAAGTCTTTTTTTTTTCCCCCCGTGCATTAAATACTCAACAAAACACACTTACCAAATTATCATATCAACCCATAACCACGCATGATAATTATTTCTTAAATCGTGATTTCTTCCACCGAATTTCAACCAAAATAAACATGGTATAGAGATCAAATGTATGCTTATAGTGAACAACCATTCATCAGCTTAAGTAACTCTAATGGATGCCACTTTAAACTAAGCCTGCACCATCTGTTCTACCCCTCAATTAGAGAAGCCAAAAAAAATTATTCAATACACAGTTTAAGAAAGCCAGCTAATTTATGTAAGTTTTATTTCTCTTCAGCTCAGTGAAGCATGCTCTTGTAATGCTTGATATCAGACATAGATAAGAATGGAAGGCTGCTTTCTCTAACAGTATTAGGAGTTTTGTCAAGGGAAATAAAATTTCCCTGCAATTTTTCACCATATAAAAAAAATTTCTCTGTAACATCTCACCACACATTGTATTTTAAAGAGTGTGATGTGCCTAAGTAACAAAATCAACTAGGAGCTAAACAAATCAAATGTGAAGTCCTGCACACATGAACACAAACGAACCTCAGGACACAGCCCTGCACAGCTGTCACCCTGACAGACGGGGTCTACCAGCACAGCCTTCCTAAGTGGAAGTGTCCTCAGCCACCGGGGTCTGTTAACCATGTCAGTTCCCAACTCCTCTTTTACAGGCAAAGGCCAAGCTGCTGGGCACAGAGCCTCGCACAGATCAAGCTGCGCTGGGGCAAAGGGATCATCCCATGCAAGGGTGAGATACTCTCCTTGGCGAGCATAGCCTGTGCAGCAAGAGTAGTGCAGTGCCAAGAACTCACTACTTGCCAAAGCGCAGGAAAAAACAAAAAAGTTTCATCCAGTTCCTTACTGCAACCCCCCACTCAGTTTCACTTCAAACTGGCCTCTCTCACCACCCTGCAATATGAGAAAACATTGAGTAGAACCTCTCTTCAATCTGATGGACCCTGACCTGCTTGAAGGCCCAGTCACCACCAAGTCTCCAAGCAGAGTTCACTTTCGGGTGTTGCTACAGCAATACCAAGGGCACTTCCAAACCTCAACTCCAACAGCTCAGGCTAGAAAGGTGCAAGAGGCCCCGTCCCCATTGCTGGATGGGGCGATGGTACAGTACTCTCCTGTTGTGGCGAAGCAGGCAAGAGAAGGTCACTGCCAAACACCCTCCATCCACCTCTACGAATATCAGGCTGGTAGAAAACTACTTTTTCCAGATCCTGGACATATTCCTTTACACTACACCTCAAAATGAAACATCAATGGCACATCACAGTCTGGGTGCTGAGAAAGGCACATCGGCCACAGATGAGTCAGAAGATCCTGCCCACTTAACAGCATTACCAAATACTGCCACAAGCAGCTCAAAGTGAGATTGTTCACTAAGGAATTACTATTTCATCTCTCTCCCTTTGCTATAAGATTGCAAAGCCGAGACGACATGCTGAAGCTCCTGACACTGCTGCGTTGTTTTGCTGCATGTCTCAAGACAGACAGCTCAGTGCCGGCCTTGGTTATTTTTCAGGGATTCAAAGCTTTGCAAAATAACTCTCTCTTTTTTGCTTAGCAGAGGAGGAAACAGAGTCCAGCAGAACCACCGTCCTGAAACAGCACAGACCAAGCAAACAAAGCACCTGAAGAAACGGAGCAGAGGCAGATTCCCCTTTGGTCTGCAGCATCCTGCAATACCTTCTCCAGCCCAACCTCACTAGTATACCCCACAACTCCTAGTGCCCACACAAACACAGGCTTGTCTGCTCTAAGTAACCGAACTCCAGAGAAGAGCAAGAGCTCTCAAAGAGAAATCATCTTTTCACTCTGCACCATTCTTCTGTCTTCCACCTACAGATAAGTACTGCTGGGAAAACGCAGGGGAGGCAATGCCTGTTGGGTGCAGTTCAAGCACACTCCTGGCAAGCATAGATACGCAAATGGCCTTGCACGGGACCTCAGTGCCTTGCTTCATATAACAACCCTCGTGCTTCCTTGACTTCAACTATCCGAGTGCCTTCTGCACCTAAGGCTGCCTGTCACGAAGCAGGGATCAGTGACCAGGTCACAAGGCCGTTTGTTAGAAGAGTCTGAGGGTGCCGAGTGCTATCAGAAGTGTGTTAGGTCTCACTCTTTCACACATGATGCTTTTACAGACTTGGACAGCACCAAGGAAAGAGAAGCATCACTTCCCCCTCCATCATTGCTTTTTTGCTGCATCACTTGAAAGAGAAGATTGCATTGTCTCCAGTCCCGGTGCTGAGGTAAAAGACTTCACAAAATAGTGTCAGGTTAAAATAGAAACAATGTACAAAAAAACACCAAAGGCTAAAAATGTCAATGACGGTCATGACTTACATAGCTCAAACTTGTATGCCGATAAGGGAGACGGAGCCCTCCCTGTTAAGCCACAGTAATTTCATCATCAGTTGAGGCTTCTTTTTAATCCAAACTGAGCTGTATTGCCTCAGAGATGTCACTTCTCTTTGGTTTGCTGATGTTTCCTCATTGATAACATCTAAGCACAAGTGTTTAGTTAAAAGAGTCCTAGACAGGCAGGAGCCATGAATCAACTGGATGCTCTCCCAAGATAATGGGTCTGTTACCCAAACCCAGTCCAATTCTGAGAGCACACACTATCACTGAAGTGTTTGGGAATTTTAGATCATGCAGATGATCTCAATCTTTGTTTTAAGCTGATACTTTTTCAAATGAAGGGAGCAAGGTGAGTAGAGAAACAGACCGCAAATATAATGGCTTTTTCAACTGTGACCAAACAGCTGCAGTTTAGCTCTCCAGATGGCTATTCTAGGGCAGCGATGCTTGGCCTTTCACTCTCAGGGTTGTTGCACTAATCCATGAACGGGATCAGATGACACCAGCTACCCTGTGCTCCCTCACAGCAGACAGAGCCGAGCTTCCGAACCCACACCCCACAGGCAGTCAAGAAGAAAGGCGACAGTAACGCAGATGCGGGCACTAAAACAAAAGGAAGAGATTGGCATAGGATGGTGCACTAAGCCTTGGCAGGATACTGAAGCAGACCTCACCACATCACTAACCTCCAGGTAGCCAGCTTGCCCCACACAAAGGTTTTACATCCTCTATTACACTCGTTCACTGAGAAAACACAGACATCCGAGAGGTGTCTCTGTTATGCTTACTAAAACTTATTAAACACAGCAAATGCTATCTATAGAATATGCACGTTAATGAACAGCCAGCTCAGCAGCATGAGTTCTGGAACAGAGTCACTGCAATACAGAAGTGCCACCAGTTTGTTACTGGAGAATGAATACCACAGTGAACATTGTACGTGTGTAGTTCAGCAGACAAAAGACTGGGAAGGGAGGTGGAAGAGAGAGAGAACAAGTTATCCTAAAAGAAATTCTGCAAACTAAGTGTGATGCTGGAATTGCAGAGTACTGCACAGCTCTGCAATCCACATCACTTCATAAAATCCATGCAAACAGCATATTTCATAACAATTTCAAGTTTACTGTGCTTGGGTTACCCTTCCACTGAGAATTATGGAAGTCTGTAAGAGAAAGCCAGTTATCAAGAAAAGGGGGAATAAGAACATGCAATGCTCTCAGGAAATTATATGTACACCGCTTGTTCATGACAGCAAACTAGGATTTCTTCATGTGCTCTGCCAGAATGGATCCTCTATTGAGAATGTATTGGCTTTGGTGGTTTGTTGGTTGTTGGATACCCAAGTCTGTTTTTTGTTTGGTTTTTTGTTTGGTTTTTTGTTTTTCTGTTTTTTTTTTGTTTTTGGGTTTGTTTTTTTTTGTTCATACATGCCAAACAACTTCTACCACAGCTGCTTGCTGACAAAAATGAAGAGGAAAAAATGCAGCTGTGCAGAACACATTGACCAATACACTGCAATCTCACAACAACTTCTCAAAATTTCTGTTAAAAATAGTTTAAATTACTCTGAGGATGTTGAGCTCCAGAGCACTTGCAACCCATATGGCTCGTCTCTCCTTCACTTCTACAGGAAAGAACTTCAGTACAACTCTCAGTTAATTATCTTCAGACTCAGCTCTGTAGGAACTTTAAGTCTCAGATTTTTCTGGACTTATCAGAAAGGAACAGTCTCCTATTACATCCCAGACAACAGCTTAAGTCCCCTATTAGACTTGTCAGAGTGCCTCCTGAGGGGACCAGGACAGGAGTTTTCCAAGCCACTGCTGAGAACCCCTCCCCGCTCCCACAGTAGATGGGAGTGGTAGGACTTCCTCACTAAGACCTGTAGGGAGATGAAGCAACATGACAGGGATAACAAGGCAGTGGAGTTCCATGTCCTACCAACTAATTGCAATGCCGTCAAATTCAACAGAACATACATACACACACAGCCTTTCCTGAGTTAAGTGCAGCAGACCAATTGTACTTAAGTTGCCCACAGAAAATAAGACAAAAAAGTCTAGCAAGATTTAATGACAGTGAAAAATACTGCTGGTTATATATGCTTTTTGCAGTTTTATAAACTTTAATACAGCAGGAAATCATCAACATTGCTAACTACTGGGATGATCAAAGCATGCCACCGGCTAACAAGGTACACAAAGAAACCAGGATATCACAAAGTTATGAACACCAAATGTAAATCCATTTATTAAAATCCCATCTACTGAATTCTTACTGCCTTGAGTCCTCAATATTGCATCAGCTATCAACTACCAAGAAATGGTTGATTCATTCTAATCAAGAATGGTTGATTCAGCATAATCATCAGCTTACAGAACAATATATTAGAAAGTCTACTATATAACTTTCACTTCGATCAAGTAGCACTTGACATTGAAACTGCTGACTGTAATCACATTCCATCTGACAAGTCTTACCTTATAATTGCTGGAATTTACCCAAGAAGTGGCCAGTCCATCAACCATTTTATCCAGCATAGTCTGATCATGTTCAAGATCAGCTGACTTCTGTTTGTCTGAGAAGTAGTCTATCAATTCCTGGCCAACCTGAAGTCTCTTTCCAACATCCTTCTGCAGCACCTGCGCTAAGCAGTACTCCATACTGGGCTCCATAGTGTCTTAGAAATACAGCACCAGCAAGAAAGCTAGAGGGCAGTAGGTCCGAAAAATCCCTCTATAAACATACGCAGGAGGTCGCCTCTTTGTTCAACGAAGGTTACTGAGGGTCTGGGTTTCAAAGATGCGATTCTGAGAATGGCAACAATGCACCATGTGTGTGTGAAGAGCAGCTGGCAGGATATTAAAAGTCCAATTTAAATAACTAGTAATAGACGAAGCAACGAGCTGTGCTGTACTGTTGAGTCTGCAATAATTCCCAATTCAGCAGTCCATTCTGAAAGAAATGAAAAAGAACAGTATTATAGGTTAAATTAAGACTGGAGCAAAAGAAGATCGAAAGCATGTCACAAAATAGGTTATTCATATAGAGCTGCGAAGTTGTGATAAGCTGGATATGAGCAGCATTGTTCTATTTTAAGGAATCAGACAAGGTAGGTCAGGACAAAAACCTTCAGTTATTCTTTACAACAGCAGTCACCCATCAGTTCCCTAGAAGTTTTAGTAGCAGACAGTAAATCTGGGGCTTTAAGTAAGAGCTGATTAGTAACCAATATTATTGCAAATACCACCATTACCATCCACCCACAAAGTAAAACGCATCTGCTTTAAGAAGTGAAAGCAGGAAGGGGTCTGGATCCTGTTTTGACTGCTGGCCTTCAGCAATCAATGCCATCAGCTGGCCAGCAAGATACAGCACTAACACTGGGCTCCAGTAATGTAAAATGAGCAGTTTTCAAAAACTAGGTGCTCAAGCTGTTTCCAGGCTGAATCCTGTTATATCCCAACTACACATGCCCAGGAAACAGCACTGGCCTAGCGCAATACTGCAAATCAACAGGGCCTGTGGTATCCTGAGAACCAAGGCCATACACAAGAAACGCTAGGACAAACTTTGCTGCCACTCAGAGGCACAGCATCATCTGTGAAGTAAGCTTTTGGCTTATGTGTAAAAAATGACTATACGTCTGGGGTTTGGTTATGTTCCTCAGTCCTAGAAACTCTTCTGTCCAAGGACTTCATGAGGGACCCAGCTGCAGCTTTTTTGTCCCTCCATCTGCAGCCAAACGAATCCCTCCAGGCAGCCAGGGAACAGACCCCCAGCCTGTCCTCCACCCTCCCACAGACCAAGGCTCCCAGCATCACCATACTGCTTCCTGAAGCACTCCCTCGTCACAGGTTAGCTCTTTCAGGAGGGGGCGATAAAAATCCAATGTCTTTTTCTTTCCTGTCTAATAAAATCTAAAGCTAGAATCTGCCCTACTTTTTCCGCCAGCGTGAGGAAAGCAGGTCAAGCTCAGAGCAAGGGAAGAGGCTGTGGAGCAGACACCTGGTTCAACAAACAACTGGAAGGAAGCTGGAGGCACAAGTTCACTAATCAGAAGCACTGGGGCAGCAAATCTAAATACCTTCTGTTTGAGCAAATAAGGCCTTCACAAAAATCTTAATAAAACAAAGTGGATCTGACAGCAGATAGATATGAGCACACAAGAACCCTAGCCTGGAAACAAAAGCACGCCTCGCACAGCAGACTGTTTCAGTTCATTATCTCACCTCCATCCTCCTTGACCAGACTTACAAACTGCCAAATCTTACCAATACCAGGCACAGCACCTAGAGGCAGCACAGAGGCTCGTGGTCCTGAGCTTCCCTAACCCCCCAAGTGCTGCCAGACATGTCCCAGCTGCCTGCACCGGCTGCACTGCTTATTCACCAGGCAGGAGGAGTCACCAGAGACCAGGTCCCTTCGTTCCAGGCAGCCAGTTCAAATCCCCGCTGCTGACAGCGATCCAAACTGGTTCTGTACATCCAGGGACTCACCTCAGCCAACTGCCTGGCAAATCCTACCATCAACCAGAAGGGATTGTGTGTGCCTGTAGACTAAACTCCCTCCCCACCAGCCAAACCTCACCCTCCAGAGCAGCAAGGAAGCATTAGCTGCGACTGCACAGGCAGCACCTAGGGCTTTAAGTTAGTGCCATGACAGCTGACTGCTTGTGACCACTACCCCAACGTGAACTGTCTAAAGAACATACCAAACACCCACCATTTTGCTTCTAGTCACTTCAAGAGTGATTTGACTTCAAATTCTAAAATTGTCAACAACACCACAATCAATACTCCCAGAGCAATGCCTTTTTTTCTTTTGAAAGGAGACATTGGTTCCAAACTAGAGGAAAGCCATGCCTTTTCTTATTGCTGAAGCTACAGTTTCTCACTTGTTTCAGTTTAGCACCAACTTTGAGAGCAGTGCTCTGAGCTTTCCCATCCTCACCCAAAACGGCTCACGACATGGCTCCGACTACCTGTGGCAGCACAGGCAAACACAGGGCTGCTTCGAGTGCAGCACAACTCTTCCTCCGAGTCTCCCTGTCTGTACCTTTGGATACTGGCCCCTGCCCTGCCCTCTAGCATGGGCTGGTCTTGCTCCTTGCTGAAGGTGCTCCAGTTATGCGAGACAATATTACACACAGGAGTTTCTAAGCACCTAACAGAAGGGTTTTCAGACAGTAAGGCAGCATTTCACTGGATACTTCGCTAGCAGAGAGCTGCTGAAGAAGGGGCAAGTAAGTGATATTTAGCAGCTACCAGGTGAAACCTTTCAAGTTAGCTGTGTGGTTTGCTTCTGGACTCCAGAAGCTGCACACGTGTTCAAAAGGGAACTCTGTTGTTAAGATCAACATGGTGAAGAAAGTCCCCTAATTGCTTTTAAAATGGAAATGTGGAACTTGCTTAAACTTGAAAATTCAGATTGCAGGAGGGTGTGAATGACAGTTAGTTACCACAAAATATTCTTTTTTTATTAAGTTCACACATAGACAAGTCCCAACACATCCAAGAAACCATTAGCTGGCCATACTGCCATGAGAAAGGAACAAAGTTTCAAGTTTTTCTTCTATGTGATTTTCATTTAAGAGTTTGTAAGTCTCTGCCTACAAGCGCAGAAACAATCTTTTAAGCAATCTAATATAAACAAATTTCTCTCCCAGTCCCTCATTTTTTAAACATGTGAAAGAAAGCATAGGATAAAAATTATGATGCACTATAGAAGAACAGATTTGTGTCATAATCTTGAGGACTGTAGTCTAAAGAAGATCCACTATACATTATGGCACCACCACCAAATGTATACAGGGGAGAAGAACCAGAAATACCTTTGAATCCTGGGGAAACCAGTAATAGTAAGCCAAGAGGAAAGGCTCAAGCTGGCTTTCATCTACCAGCCAACAGGTGTTTAAGTGGCACTTTTTTTAACTTAAAAAAAAAAAAAAGCAAGCTTTTCCACACATGTTAGGAAGTCTGTTGACTCCCCCTCTTCCTCACAGGAGGAAGTGGAGAAAATACCACCTGAGAAACCAAGACCCAAGCTGACAAAAAATGAACGTCCCAGGCAATGAGGCATATAGCTGCTATATCCCATCAAGCTTGAAATCAACTGGGCAGATGCTCTGCACATAACAAGCTTTGGAAAGCACAAAGCCACAGTCTCAGCCCCAGTGGTCCACTTCTGTTCCTGCAGAATTTAAATGCCATGGGTTTTGGGTAGCCAATGTTACAAGACATAAACAATTTAGGACTAGCACTAGGACTCCGAGTACAACCTCTTCCCACAGAAGCACAGTCCTGCAGAAGTCAAAACTAACAACTCGGTTGCACAGGTCCTGCATTTGGAGCTCCTCCAAGCTTTGAGAAAGGTTTCGAATACAGGCTCCAAAGCAAGGGTTTTCTCCAGTCCTCCTACTAGGCTTGCAGTTTGCATTCGGGGAGACAGGCTAGGCTACATCTGACATAATATCAACACATAGACAAGATAATCCAAGAGAAAAAAAACTATTCTCCCCACCACCGCAACTCTGTCACTGCTAAAGCAAAGCTCCCTCTTTCACTAATAAGCCATCAAAACTATGTGCTTAGTCAAAGCCTCTGCCAGTAACACCTAAATTTTCCATCAAGAGCTATCCAGCAGAAAGCCACTAGAGAGGTCTTAAGTTTAATGCCAGCTTGGAGCTCAAAATGAATTTAAAGGAGAAAGCTGACAAAGACTGAACAGCCCAAAGTTACTCAGCCTAGATACTACCACCATAACACCATAAAAGCTGGTACAATTCACAGCAAAGCAACTGGCTCAGCGTGTAGAATAAGTCAATCCAAATAGTAATAAGGAAATACTTGTCACCTAAGATGCTGTGGCAACATTAAGATGGGTACATAAGCCAATGAACTTTTTTCAGTGCTTAGGAAAACCCCACTGACTCCAAACTAAGTGAAACTGCACTATTTGTAATTCTCAAGTAAGACTTTTTCTTAGGATAACTTCACAGGAAATTTTGAATCTTCTTCCTCTTGCAATGAGGAAGGAAACCTGAAGCATGTAAAGAATGCAATACTACTCTCCTGGGGGTTTATCTATACTTCGGAGCTCTTCCAACATAGCTATTTGCCTTTAAAAATTATGCCCCACTCTCTTCTGCTCTGGTGATGAGGTTGAGTTACCATCTTTGTCATGTTTCACCATCGTCTTCATTTGCCAACAAACCAGTGCAGTCCACAGCCTCCCCAGTCAACTGCTCTAACACAGTTAACTCAAAACCCAAGCTTGCAGAGAGACAAAAATATTGCTGCTACTCACAATCACCGTAGGCAAGAGCCAGTGCCACTCATTAACTAGGCCTTTCTAGTCACCTTCCTGAAGGTATCCCTGGTATCTACTTCCAGCCAGTAAGCTTAACTTGTAAACAACTTATAAACATGACAACACTTCTTTGGCGTCTTTTTTTTTTTTTTACATGGTTAGCTGTAGCCCAGCAGTTGTAGAAATAGCACAGCAATACAGTTGTACCAACAAGCCTCCTTCTTCACAGGTCTCAGGAGCTAACTGCATACAAACTTCAGTTTAAGATTAGTTCAAGGTACATTAGACAGACATTTCCTTGAACCTTGACTTTCCACAACAAAGAACTCCTGTCCTACTTCAGGAGATCTCCACCTTAGCCAAA